TTTCCTTTTTGTACGCTCCTCGTGAGTTAGTACGCAAGAAAAAGAAAGAACTTATATACGTACTGAGTATATTCAAGAATGTGTCTTTTATACCTTGTTTTTATGGGGAATATAATGTCTTTTAACTTTCATACAATAATAATAATAATAATCAATTTAGCTTGATCAGAAGATCAGAGGTTTCACTTTCACTTTAAATTTCTCTTTCATTTTCACTGAAAAATGAAATGTTAAGATGAAAAGTGAAAATGTCAGTGACAATGAAAGTGAAGATGAAAATGAAAGTGAAAATGATAATAAAAGGGAAAGTTAAAGTGAAAATCAAAGTCAAAGTCAAAATGAAATTACACAACAGAAATAATCACATACACTGAAAGAGAGATTTGGTATTTGCAACAAAATCGTTTGGTTTGGCCATTTTTGGTTCTTGTAATCAAATTTTGGTTGGTTGAAACAAAGTCGCGTATAGAGTTATCTCAACCAAACATTTGTTTAGGCCAACAAAATTATTTGATTGAACATTTTTAAATTCCATGCAAAATTTGGTTACGACAACAAAATAATTTGATTAACACAAAAAAAATAGTTTGATCTAAAAAACCAAACAGACAAAATTTTTTTGTTGGCCCATAACCAAATTTTGGTTAAAACAAAAGTCGAAAAAAAAAATGCTAAGGAAAAATTTGCAAAGCAGCGAAAAGATGATTTTTAATGCAATAAAATTTATGAACAATCTCCAACTGCTACTGCTGTTATGCTATTCTTAAATAAATCAATTTTCATTAAGTTTTGATGACATGTTCATCTCTATGTCAATTATATGAAAATAAAAAATTTTTAAATACCAGAATATTCGTAATATATAAAATATAGAGAATATCGGATATTTAGGTAGGAAAATTTTTAATTTTTAACACAGAATTCAATGTTGGATTATTTTCAAGAAAAAAAATATTTATTATTTAAATAAATTTTGTTTTGACGTGACAACGTCTTACTCTAGGGAGCAAGTCAGAAAAATTGGCGTTCATATCGCCGGCCAGAACTCGAAAACTTTAAGTCATATTTTTAAGATTTTTGTGTTATTCGATTACTTTTGATCTAATCTCGATGACAAACTTATTTTTGTTAAATTTGGAAATTAAATTTTTTATAGTTTTCTATGTTACCGACCGGTTAAAGATTTAACATGTTAGTATACAGCGCCACTGCTGACAGTATCCACTATACCTATATATGTATAATAGTCAAAATAAACAATATTTTGTAATAAAATTCGTATTTAAAGAAGTTGCAAAAAATTTTTTTTTCATTTGAACGTTCAAAACTTTTGGCTCATTAACAAATAAATAACAAGAAAATTAATATATATATATATCATTGTTTTTAAATAAAATTAGAAAGAATTTGGAAATTTTCAATAAAGTTAATGAATACAAAAAAAGTAACATTTTCTTAAAAATTTGAAAAAATTTAATGATATATAATTAATGTAAATTTTGAACCAAATATATTTTTTTTAATAAATAATTCAAAGGATGCAATTATATAATAATTTCATTTTAACTTCTACTTTGCGAATTTGACTTGTAATTTGCATTGCAAGGGGTTTTTTTTGCAATTTTTATACAGTTATAATGGATATTACTTAAAAGAAAATTTTCTTTTAATTTCCAGAAAATTTAATTAAAATGTTAATGAGAAAATAATTAAGAATTTTTCAAACAAAATGAAATATCATTGAGAAAAATGCTTAGTTAGAGCAACCAAAATTTGGTTGGGCCAACAAAAAAATTTTGTTGGTATTTAAGCAACCAAACTATATTTGAGTATTATCATTATTATTATCAGCGTGACATTATTTTACCAAAATAAACTATAAAAATTAATTTTTTTTTTTCAATTCTTGAGAGAGAAAATTTAAAAAATGCGATAAATTATAAAATTGGCAATTAACATGAAGTGTATATCGCATGTTGCCCGGGGACGACTCTTGAGTAATTGCCTAGCTATATAAGAGAATCTTTATCCTTCCGTCTTACCGCAGCAAAATTGTACCGGACAGGCTTATTTTTTTTTCTTGTTCCCTATTTTCTCCTCCTACGTCTTTATTTTTCTCCTCGTTATATTATCTTTCCTTTATTTTTCGCAGAGGCAGCGTCTTCGTTAAGGATTGAACTCCTGACGAAGGATTTTCATCAGTGTTGTAACACTCGTTTTCGTTTAATTTATGGCTTTATGTATATATATATATATTTTTTTTTTTCAACTTGAAAGCCAGAGAACTTTACGAGCTGAAAAGTGCGCGAAAAACTAGGTTACCCTGTAATTAAACTGTCGTTTGTGTCGCCCCGTTCTAATGGATACAAATTATTTGATAATTTAGATAGTAAAATAGAAAATGCTTTTTAAAATTTTTTTAATAGACATTTTCCTTTCTTATTATTTATCGTATATATTAATAATTAAAAAATTTAAAAAAAAATTTCTATTTTATTAAAAATTGAAAATTTTATTTTTATTTATTAAAAATTTGAAATTAGGTATTTTAATTTATTTAAAAAGTGAAAAATATGAAAAAAAAGTATTTTTCATTTAATTTTCGAATTAAGTTGTTGACGTGCGCGCGCGCGTTGAAGAAGACATTAATTAAATAAGTTTTTAAATATAATAAAGAGACGTGTGTGAAGATAGAGAAAAGTTTGATTTGGTAAAAATAGAAAGAATGAAGAAAACAAGGTAATAATGACTTTGTCCTAAATCGATTCTTAATAAAAGTTTCTCTCGCAAGTTTTCTGCTTCACCGAAAATCCTTGTTTCGAGTTCGAGCTTCGACTTTTCGTCTTTGCCTCTCCAAGTTTGGGATAGAGAAAAGTATAAAGTCCAGAAGCTTAGGGATTAAAGGACATGAGGTACATTGGCTAGGGAATTTACTCTTTAGACCAGGAATAAATTTTCAAAAATATGCATTGTTTATTTTATTTTTATAATAATAATAATAATAATAATAATAATATAACTTTTTTATTATTTGAACAAAAAATGAATACAAATCAGGCAATTAAAACTAATAATATACAGAGGAAATAATATAGAATTATAAATTAATTTACATACATAATTGTAATTTAATTTCTGTGATAATTTTTAAATTATTTCATTAATGTAAAATAATTTACAATTCTCTTAATAATTTTAAGTGAAATAAATATATAAGTAGTATAAAAAATTTTTTTAAGTCATGAATTGACGTATATAAAAAATTGAATATAATAATTATATATTTATATATATATATATATATATATATTATTTAATATTTGGTTTTGTTAATAAAATAATTTGTCGTAAGTAAAACGAATATAAATTTTTTTTTTAATTATAAGGAAGAAAATATTGCTTTTGCTTCTGATAAAAATTATACAGTGATGAATAAATTTTTTTTTTTTGTTATAAAAAATAAAATTCAAGCACTAAATTATAAATTCAAGAAGTGTAATTAGCACATTAAAGTAATCTGCGATCGAAGTTTCATATAAGATTGTGGGAGCTAGGCTTTGAGCAATTTCTGAATTTCATTAACTTTAAGTGGAAACGGCCGTACATGCTCCGGAAAGTGCGCTATACTCGTTAAAGTACCAGTAGCGAAATTTCAAAGTGAAATTGTATGTGACTTTGAGAAAACTGATACAAAATTACAAATTCATGTAGTTTGGAAAAAAAAAGGAATTACTTTTAAAATTCTTTTTCCCCTTTTGGTGATTTTATTTTCATATTGTGAGGAATTTTCGTTTAATTAAATATAAAAAAAAGTCAATTTTTTTTTTTTGATTAAAAAGAAAAAATTAGATTTGAAAGTGAATTTTAAATCGATTGGGAAAAAATATGAATTAGTAAAAATAGAAATTATTAAAAAGGAGAAAAATTATTTTTTGCTATTTTTACTCTGTAACATAAAATGACCCTTTCGTATGAGAACAATTTTTTTTTTTCAATTAAAATTTTTTATTTCTGATCCAGTGGAATTTTTGAAATAACAAATAAAAACAAAATTATTTTAGCGCAAATAAAATTTTTATTCAAGCCAAATAATTTTTTTTTTGTTTTTTAAAATAATTAAACATTTATTTGGCATTGAGATAAATTTTTTGTTTTCAATGTGAAGAAAAAAAATCGCTCTATAATGAAAATTTATAAGCGAAAGGGTTAAAAAAAATTTTTTTACTTTCTAATAGTTATAACAAGTTTAAAGCTTTCGTTACCGATTACATATACAGATATGTAAATTTTTCTTAAAAACTAAAAACTTATAAACGCCTACTAAATATTTTCATTTAACAAAATGTATCGCATTAAAATTTCGAATAATTCTCAATTTCTCCCTAAAATTCAAAATTTGTCATAATAACAACAATTTGTAGAGAAATGAGAAAATATGTTTGTTTATGAACATATATACATTTTTTTTTAACGCAAAGGAAAAAAGTAAAATAATATACACATCGAACGTTAATTTATTGTGTGAATTATAATTAATGTCACAAATGGAGTGTTAACATTTTGAAATGTCGTCATTACAATGAGTAATGAATAAAGAGGCATTATTATTGTCAAACATTTGAATACCACACGTTTTCCTGATTATTATATTGAAACGATAAATTGTGATAATAATATTTCTAGTTGAAAGTCCAGAGTAAAATATAATAATAATAATAATGATGGCTCAATATCGAAAATTCACGATAATTATATATATTGTATATTAATCATGGTTGACTGATTTGTGAAAAATGCACAAACCATCCATGCTTATTTTCACTTAATTTGTTAATGCGAATAGCATGTTCTGAAATATACAGCTTTCAATCAAAATTGTACGTCATATATGTTTGTACACTTTAACAATCTATGGATTGCTTACAGTAAACAATAGACACAATCAGTTGTTATTGAAAATAAAAAAAATAATGATATTTTCAATAAATAAAACGTATACGTATTTTTGCTTGATTATTTTTTTAATCAAAGTGAATTTAATATTTTTTTTTCCATTTACATTTATTGTATAAAATAAATGACTATTTTTTAAATTTATTTTTTATTATGTACATATATGTATATTTTTTCTATTATATTTGCCTTTTTGATAATGTAAGCATAAGTAACATTTTTACATAATAAAAAAAGAGGATTTTTAAATTTAAAGTAGTTTAGTGTTTGAAATTGGCGCCGAAATTTCAGAGTCTGCGCAGTACGATGTTACCGACACTCGGTCGGTAATATCACAAATTGTAACATGTGTTTTCGTTCCTAACCTTCAAAAAATAGTTTATATAATCAATTTCTATTTTATAATTTTTTGTTTCAAAAAATAATAATTTTGCAAAATCGAATATAATAATTGTATTTGAATGGGAGAAATTTTTAGCAACAGTGAAGAGAATAATTCGAAAATTAATGACAATACATAAAATTAAAATAAAAAAAAAAAACTAGAGAAACAAGTCCTTATTCACTACAGATAACATATATATGAAAGACAGATATAATTATTTAAAAAATACTATACAAAAAATTTTCCAGTTTCTCGAATTTGAATCTAGCAAAGAACTTACATTTTTTAAAAAAAAATCTCAAGTTTTGCGCGAAATACAAATCGTTTTTTTTTCTCTCTTTTTCTACATAAAAAAATTATAATTTCTAGCTACAGAACATTTTTTTCAAAAAAAAATTTTTTTTTTTTTATAATTTAACGTTCTCGTTGAATATTTTTGTGATACTGATGACCCCAGAAACTGTCGGTGCCATCGCCCTTATTGAGATTGAAATTCTTAACCAAATCTTTGCTGGGTGTTTTGAGATCGTAGGCCAAGCCAAGCCACGACATAATCTCAATAAAAGCCGTGGACGGATTGAGTCCATAAGCGCCAAGCTCAGCGGCACGATAGTCCCATGGGAAGGAGTGATGATAGTTGTGCCAACCTTCGCCAAGTGTAAAAAAGGCCACTGTTGGATTTTCCGTTGGCCTCAACTTCCTGCGGAAGGAGAAGAGAGAATGATAAGAGAATAATCGATCATCGTTAAAACTTGTGAGTTCGTTCGTCGTATAGTCGGGAAACCATTAAAGTGACACGTCAAAAAAAAAAAAAGAAGTGTCAAACGATTAAAGGGGAAGCAAAGTTCGACAATGGGCGATATATATATTAAAAAGTAATATTTTATCGAAATTTTTAAATCTTGTAAGAAAAGCAAACTTTTTTCCGACTGTACTGGATATATTATACATATATGTATGTAAGTGCTTTCTTTGTATCTATATATATGTATACATGTACTTCAAGCTTTCGTCATTTTGCAAACAATTGAAATTCTCCAGACAAATTGAATTTCACTTCTCTCTCACTCTTTCCCTTTCGTATTTCTCACGCGTTTCTGCTTTGTAGTCACATTTTATCAGAAGGAATGTTGTATTTTTATGTGAAATTATTTTTCATGTTTGAAAAATGATAAAAAAAAAAATTGGAATGAGGTACATTTTTGCTTTCAATTGCATTTTAAATTAAGTTGTTATTTGTATTAATTTTTATTTACTTGTAAAATAATTTGCAGAAATAATTAGTTGATTGTAGTGACTTAACGGTACAAATTATAGGAAAAAAGTAATATAAAAAAAGTAAAAGTTAATTCTTAAAAAAAAAATACTGTTACTACCCAAATGATCTCTTAGAGTGACGATACCGAGTTCCCGGTTCTCTTTATATAGAAACACAGGATGTAAAATTATAATAGTGGTGGGGAGAGCGCTCAACGATTGGTCAGTTGCACGCTACTAGCAGACAGACTCCTCCCACGTCTAGCGAGCGGCCAATCAGTAAGTGCTCACCTCCCACCGCATCGCACCGTTACCAGAGTATATAAAGAGCACCTGTGAACATCTTTACGCTCAGTTGACTGCAAATTATCAGACTATTTAAGATTTTAACACGGTAAAATATAATACAAATTTTATTAATTATAAAATTTAAAAATTTCAAGGTTAATTTATTACTATTAATTAAATAATTAATTCTCTGAATTTTCAATTTATTTTTACAAAGATTAAATTAATTTTGAAATTTTTAAAATTATTATCAACTTTATAATTTTTATAAAAGTATTTTTTTAAATTAGTATATCTTTTCTTATCTTAAACAACACCAATTTGAATAATTTCCGGAGTATGTGAAGGCAAGTCTAGACTCGAAAAATCAATTAAAATGAATATTGTAATTTAATATTCATTTATTTAACTTATATGATGACATTTCACAACGTTTAAGATCAACGATTTAAAAGAAAAAATATTTTTCTCTGCAAATTATTTTATTTTTTTGTCTAAAAAAATTTTTTTTAACGTTTCTCGATCAATAATAATTTTCCTAAAAAAAATTTCTAGGCAAAAAATTAATTAATATTTTTCAAATGAAAAATATTTATATATTAAATTTGTTAATTTGATTAAAAATTAATAAAGGATTGAAAATAATATAAAATCTGTTTCTATAATATAACGAGATTCTATTAAAAAACGTAGGTCAACTTGTACCATACAAATTATCTCTTAAATTAAATTTAGTCAAAAATCATATATTTTCAGTGAAAATTAATTATTAAACAGTAAAAAATTTTAAAATTGAAAGAAATATGCAAAAACAAATAAAAAAAATATTAATAAATGTATTTAAAAAATTTAATATTAATATAATTTATATTTCTGTTTCATTTATTATACACTTATTTAATCATGACCTTGAACATAGTATTTTATGCAACTTTTTCGCGATTCATTTTTTTACATATTATTTTTGATAAAAATACTTTTATCAGATGAAGATCGTTCCTAATTAAAGTCATGTACTATTAGAACTTTATCGTTTGAGAGTTTGTAGTCAATTGAACGAAGAGGGGTACGCAGCGCTCTTTATATACTCTGGTAACGGTGCGACGCGGTGGGAGGTGAGCGCTCACTCATTGGCCGCTCGCTGGACATGGGAGGAGTCTCTCTCCTAGTAGCGCGTAACTCTCCAATCGTTGAGCGCTCTCCCCACCACTATTATAATTTCACATCGTGTGCTACTATATAAAGAGAACGGGGAACTCGCTATCGTCACTCTTAAACGATCTGTTGATTATTGATAGTAAGGTTTCGTCTGCTTTTTCTTGAAGAATAATAATTTTTGGTTTTCGTTATATTATACTTTTTATAAATCTATATGAATTACTACTATTATCATTTTAATAATTAATATCCAATTTTTCCACAGTTCCATAGTTTTTTTAATTCGAATTCATTATTAATAGGGTTTTTTAATTTCTTTAATTCTTTTTCTGTACATGGCATACTGATTTCAAAATTTTTTACACTCCATTTTACATTTATAGTGAATTTTCGAAAAATACTTCTTTCGCAATATTATAAACAAAAAAATCAATACATGCATTGTTTCAATTTTATTCTACCATTTTCATCGGGGTTTTTTTTTTTCTTTTTTTTTGTTGCTAAATAGGAAAATGGTTGGTTGAATGTGTATTCGGTGAAAAAAAAGAAGGGTTCGTTATACCTATTGTACGGCCGGTTTCCCCACATGTGTGCGAAACTGTTGACGAGAAAGGTTGCATTTAGCAGCCAGATGTAACGAATGATGACAGCGTGGATGCTGATGTACCAAGTTTCATTCCAACAGTAAACGGGTATTAGAGTTGGCAGAACGAAACACAAAGACAACATGATGGGCTCGTAGAATCTGTAAACATATATAACACATCCACTATAAATTCATATATTCGCTGTTCAAAAGTTTGTCATATAACTTGTGATTTACTTTTACTACAAAAATAACGTTATAAAATCTAGAAAATGTATCGAGTAGAGACACTTTATTCATATATTTTTTTTTTTTTATATCAACTTCATCATTTATACTTGTCCTCTTTATTGTCAAGATATATCTGTTTTTATGCGCAAAACTATATGTCTGACATCAATAACGTTTATCAACAGTTTTAACGTCACCACTCATACTTATTTGCAATATATAGAGGTACTGAATTTCTCTCGTAAATACGAACGGATCTAAATTCGACTGGATTTTGATGTGAAATTGATTAACGAGACTTATCTGTTTATTAGAGATTAAGGGAAATTGAATTTGTGTATTTAAAGTAAAAAAAATATGTATAAAATTTTTTTTAATTTCCTAATTTTGTCTACTCGTATAAAATTTTGACAGTAAATTTTTCTATCCTAAAAGAACTTCCATATGGTGTGAAAGAAGTTATTTAGTAACTTGAAATTAGTTTCTAATGAAATTTTTTTAAAGCTTAAATTTTATATACAATAAAAATTATTATTGCTGGCAAAATAAGTATCAAATAAAATATTATTCTCATTAAATAAATTCATCTTCTTTGGTATATATATAAGGGGTTAGATATAATAAATAAAGTAAATGAATATACCGGGCATAAAATTCCCATCAAAGCCAACGATTTTCTGTACGTTTTCCACTTGAGAATAAAATTAGTTATACTGAAATGAGTGTTATTAACTTGATCGCAAGAGTTCGCTTTTTTAAATTGAAGATTAAACGTTAAGCTTTAGGTTGAACGTAGAGGAAAAAGAATCTTAAATAAAGGAACGTTAAGATCAACTTGAATTAGGTGAGCTCGCTGAGAATGATATCTCTTGATAAGCATTAAAGCACTTAATAAAAATTTGAAAATTTTTTACTACCTTTTATTTTTTTAACTTGTTTCAATATTACAATTTCAAATTATCTCGAATATTCAATTAAAATATGATTTCTAACTATTAGTTTATGATAATTTTTTTTAAATAATCCAGTGGGAAGTTGACAATGTTTACCGTGGGACAACATTGGAACCGAATGGTTTTTTTTCTTGGTTCATTATTGTTAACCATTGATGGTTTAAGGTTGGAAAACTACGGAATCCATTTCCCCGAACGTAAATTTCATCAAAAACAGTTTCCCGAAAATATAAATGTATCATTGTAGCATAAAAATGTTACGTTTTTTTTTTTAAACCTATAGCAACGATTTTAAATAAGGAAAAAAAGGTCGGATCTGTGAACCTTCAAAATGTTTTTGTTATTAAGTATTTTTTTTATTTTTAAATAAAAAAATAAATAATAAAATAATATTAAAATAGTGGCACAAATAATAAAAAAAAACTATTTCTTAGTTTAAGATTTGTAATTTGATATAGCTGTGTGGTCAAAGTACACGGCACGCGTCCTGAGGGTCCTGGGTTCGATCCCCTATGCGCGTAAGATTTTTCAAAATTATTCTTAACTATTTTAAATACTGTATATTACACCGGAAATTTACCTATTCCAGTTTAAATTCGGATAAATATTTTATTTTCGTTCTTTGCAGAAAAAAAAATTGCAGATTTTCATTAACTTCTGAAATATGCTAACGAAAATTTTTTTTTAAATTTTTATATAAAAAATAATTATTTTTTATAAACAAATTAACTTTTTTAAACTTTGGACCCGATTTTTTTCCTTTTTGTTTATTTTTACACACCTCAAAATACTAAGAATATTTTGCAAAAAAATTTTACATTAAATCACTAATATTCTTGAATAGAATGTAAGTTCAAAAAAAAAAAATAAAATTGTGAAATTCCGGGACAAACGGTAATTTTTGTCATTAAATTCATTTGAAAAAAAATAATTTTTATTCATTTTTAATAATTTTGAACGAAATTATAATATTTTAAAAATCTCTTTATGCTTTGATGAGAAGAGAAAAATTGTTCTTTTCCATAAAACTTACTTGTCAAAAAACTGTATCACTGGATCAGAGGCGATATCGCTCATATCGATTTTTTTTCCATTTTGAATGACAGCCGGGTGCCTCTTCATCATTAGCCACCCCATGTGGGAGAAAAAGAATCCACGATTAGCGTTGTGTGGATCCGCCGGTGTTTCCGAGAAACGATGATGAGTTCGGTGATCTCTTATCCATTTGTACATGTGAGTCTGAAAAGATAGATGTTGATATAAAAAATTTTTTTGCAGAATCACGGTTGAAGCCAATCTTTGAAAAAAAGTGGAGAAAAAACTCTAGACACTGATATCTGAAAGAAAGGGGGGGAAAAAATGAAACCCAGTTTCTTAATTGCATGAAAAAAGGGTTCTACTGTCGTTTCATGAAATTCTAATCCTTCTAGAAATTGGAAATATTTTTTTAATAAATTATAAATATTTTAATAAATTAATATTTATATGAAGTAAAATTATTATTTCATTTAATTAAAACTATTTATTTTATTTTTTATTTGTTTTAATAAATAAAATAAATAAAAAATTTATTTTAAATAGGTAGAGAAAAATTATTAGTGCGAATACAATTTCTATGATTCTAATAAAATTAACCTTTGTTCTAATGTCAGATTCGGAATCATCAGGATGACAAGTTTTATTTTTTTAAATTTAATTGTAACTATATTTTGATATAAATTAAATAATATTTTAAAAAAATAATAATGTAATTTTAAATGTGTTTGAACGATTTTGGAATTTTATTACTTTTATATCTGAATCCTGAGGTGTATGTTTACATTTTGTGGTACAAAGGGTATATACACCTTAAGGCGAAGGTCACAACAATGTGTTTAGTTTTCAAATTCAACTTAGTTGCAATTCGTGTATTGACCTGTTAAGACGTGACAACGTGAGAGAAAATTTGGTAATTTTTAATTATTTTAGGTGATAAATAAACAAATTTTCACTGTCGTCTTTAATTTTATTTGTTTCCCAATTAAGGTAAATAACTTCGGGAGTGCTCGATTCTTTTAATTTGCGAACAAAAAAGTTTTGGTGTAAAATTTCTTTTTTTGTTTTTGTAATTTTAGTAAATTTTTATGTTTCGGGAGTGTTCGAAATTCTTAAAATCGCGATCGCTTAAATTTTTAGAAAAAGTATTTTGTTTTTTCAATACAGTTTAAACGTGGTTTCGGGAGTGTTGGAAAATTTTTAGTGTGTTTCCGGTACATCTTATCATCAAAAATATATGATATACATCGTCTGCTGACTAAGGTTAGCGATTTTTTTTTTAAAAATAATGTAACAGGTAAAAGTTAAAAAAAAAAAACCTTTAAAAACAGTAAATAACCGGGATTTTTTATTTATTTTATTTATTTAATAATAAACGGGACTGGACCTTTTGTACAAAGTACTCTTACAATCTAAGTAGTTAACCACACCCCTCCTCAAGCGCCGTAAAGTTATACAAAAATGGATCCAACTTTGGACAACTAAAACTTGTAGTATTGGGCTTATATTTTCAAAATTTTCAAACCGTGAAATTGCCCCAGCTCCTATATTCAAATAAAACGAATTTTTGTAATTATCCCAAAGAAAAATCTTGAAAAAACCGATTATTTACGTTTGAACGCAAAAAATGTTAGCAAATATCTATTATTTGCAAACTTTTCTAGTTTATAAACGCTGTACAAGGTTCTACTTACCTGTCAGTTATAAAAAAGAAAAAACAATTAAGAAGAAATATTTTTTTACTGTATTATGAATTTCGAGTGAAAAATTAGTATTAGCATGAAAATCGAGAACATATAGAAGTCTTTAAAGAACATATAGAAGAGAGTTTAGAAACGATAGAAAACGGCAATGGCTTAGGCTATTCTTCTGAACAGGCAGGAGAAGCGATTTATCACCATTTCATGGAAATTTGGGAACCATACAAAATAAACAACATTGGAGATAAAAGATTCGCGACACAACTTTATAAGGCAGTGGTAGAATTGTCCTCGTTAAATTTGTGAGACATTGATGGACCATTACAAAATTTGTAAAAATGACTTTATCTATTTTCATGCTAATACTAATTTTTCACTCGAAATTACAGTAACAAAATATTTCTTCTTAATTGTTTTTCCTTTTTTATTACTGACCTTGTAGAACCTTGTACAGCGTTTATAAACTAGAAAAGTTTGCAAATAACAGATATTTGCTAACATTTTTTGCGTCCAAACGTAAAAAATCGGTTTTTTCAAGATTTTTCTTTGGGATAATTACAGAAATTCGTTTTATTTGAATATAGGAGCTGGGGCAATTTCACGGTTTGAAAATTTTGAAAATATAAGCCCAATCCTACAAGTTTTCATTGTCCAATGTTGGATCCATTTTTGTATAACTTTACGGCGCTTGAGGAGGGGTGTGTAACTTCATAACTCTTAAAACATAGGTTCAACCAATAACTAAAATCTAGATAAGCCGTTCACAATATTGTATTAAGTACAATTCTTTTTAGAGCTAACTTAAATCTGATCGCATTCCTATCAAACAAGTCCAATTCATCTGCTATCATATTTGCTTCTCTACTTATTCTATCAATTAAAGAATTATTACCATAGTTAGTTCTATGAAAAGATGCAGAAAATAATGTGTAATGCCTTGTAATTTTCCTAGGCACTGAGAGATTTACCATTAGCAAAAGTGAAGGACAATAGATAGCTCCATTTATTAACTTATAGAGATTCAGCAGCGTCAGTTGTCTGACAAAAAAATATTAATTTTTCTAAACTCAATAAAAGGGTTAATAATAATTATTATTGTTAAGATGGTAAATAGGTATCTCCTATTAAGTATATTTCATTAACTTAATCATATCTGATAAGGTAGAAATTTAATTGACCAACAGTCAAATTTTTATGTACCATCCTCACTAAATAATAATAATTATTATTTTATTTACAATCATAATAGATATTAAAACTTTTTCGCAAATAAAATGTGCATAATCATATTCTGTTTTTTTTTCTTATTTTTTTATCAAATTTCTTTTTACCAAATTAATATTCAACAATTTCTAGACGAATCAGAATTTAATGAAACGCAACTATAAAATGTATAATGAAAATGAAAAAAGAGCTAGGAAAAAAGAAAGTACTTGAAATTCAATGTACCGTATCGTAAAGGAGCATTAGAAATTCCAAGGGTAATTTTTGACTTTCCAATTGAAAGTTTTGGGAATTGTAATTACTTGGAAAATGTAATGGACCATTAGATTAGTGTCTTTGAAAGTTTATTGACTTTTAAAGTTGTTGTGTAAGAGCATGAAGAGAAGATTGCTGTTGAGGATTATTGGGGGCTTTGAAATTACCTAAATAATTTCGCTCGAAATGCAGCCAAGTTTATATCAAATTTCTCTCCTCTTCTAGCATACAATATGTATATATATATATATAGTTTATCAGGCGATTGAACAATTTATGGCAATTAGAGGAAAACTTTTAAGTGTTTGGAATACTTAAATATATATATATATTTCCGCGAAAGCAATGTTTTTTGAAAAAAAAGAAGAATTTTCCCTGAAAAGTGAGAACTTGGGATTGTTTCAAGCGTTAGTAGTTGAAAATAGTTGAGAATAGTTTTGTACAGTTGAGAATCGATATAGATAAGGATGTTAAGCAAAAGAAAGCTATTTAATGCCACTTTGAAAGACGGGGGGAAAAAAAAGGAAGAGATATGAGGTACCAAAAACTTTATTTCTAACAACTTTACACATTAAAGTAGTTTTTGAGTATAAATTTTTGTCTATAGACGCCAAATTCTTTCTCTATAAAATCAGTTGAAAATACTATTTTTAATATATCACATAGCTTGAAATTGATATGCGGAAAATTTTTTTATCAAGCTCAGAAAAAGTATCTCCATTTTCGCTTTTGATATTTCGAAAGGAATATATACAATCCTAGTTTCATTGGATGTTCATTTTGAGATGGTGAAACTTTTCTACCAATTGGTTAGCGTTTGCAGTTTCCCCTTTTGCCTGCCATTGTCGGTTCGTTTGAAAGCAGACATCGCGGCATCTACGACCCTTATAGACGAGTATCTAGTAGATTTTTCCGCCCACTTGAATCATCCCTCCCGGTCTCTGAGACTTGGTTCGATGCCCTAATAAACCGAGAAAGTGCATTTACGCCGCAGTCTTCGGGAAAAGGCTCAGCGTTGGCAAAGAGAACGCGACAAATTTCTATTGCTATATAACCGTACTGGGAGTTTCCACTTCTCGGTATCGTACTTACTCCACTATATATATATATATATATATTATTCGATAGCACAGCCACGCACGCCAGAAGGAACTTTGCAGTTTCTCAACTAAAGCGCTAAATTTTCCATTAGGCGTGTCTTGACGAGAAATTACTTTGAAATATGTCTTTGTTTGATTAATAGCGGTATAATCTCGATTCAACGCGCATTATATGCCAGTAACTGTGCTATTTAAGCGAAATTTCTTGTCTTGGAAAAAAAACTATGACTGGGATTTGCGAAAAACAACAGGAGAAAAATTAAAATTTATAGAAATTAATAACATTAACTTAGTAATTAAGTATTTAATTTATTTAACTAATTAGTATTAACTAACAGACAATTTTAATATATGGCAATTATTAAGCGATTATATTTGCTACTCTTTTTAATTCTCTAATCGTGTAGCATGTGCAATGTTTTTTTTTTGCGAAAGAAACTTTAAAAGTGACGCTACAGAGTTCCTGGCTCTCTTTATATAGAAATAAGCGACCTCAATTTTTCCTCTTAGTGGGGAGAGCGCTCAGGAATTGGCTCGTTACGCGCTATTGGCAGTAAGACTCCGCCCTTGTCCGACGAGCGGCCAATCAGTGAGCGCTCACCTCCCACCATTGCTATAGTATATAAAGAGCACTGCGAAGCACATCTCCGCTTAGTTTACTACAAGCTGTCAGACTAATTGAACGTTTAGGTGCAAATATTAATGAAAACTAATGTAAAAAATTATTATATAAAATCCTTATTATTATTTATTGATAAAATGTAAAAAATACTTTTCAAATATTTTTAAAAAATTCATGGTAAAAACTGTACTATGCCCAAGTGTAACGTTCTACATTAATTTAAAAATGTTTATTATATAAAAATACTTCTAAATATTGTTGCGCCATTACAAATTTATATTTGAAAAAATATTATATCAGCAA